CACACACACACACACACACACACACACACACACACACACACACACACACACACACACAACTGCAACTGTAATTATAATCTGTCTGTTTAATACATTTCCAAATATATATTAGATATACCACTATTATAAAAAATAGCAAATAAAAAATTATCAAAAACAATAATCTCTGTTATAATTTCTGATATATAAATACATCTGTTTTGAGTAAAAACAAAATAATATCCACTATACCTGTCCAATTTCGATAAATAGTTAATGCATAAATTATAATAGATATTACTTTAATATCCGTAAGTGCCTTAATTGAAATTATATCTACTAATGTTACCATTCGATACAATTTATACAATCAACTGATCAAGAAAAGTACAGTTTGAAATAGAAATCGTACGTGCAATGGCTAAAAGTATTCGTACAATTCTAATACCATTTTTAATGATAAGTTATATGTTTGGACTAAAAATTGTTAATTTATCTAATCAAAAACTATGGTTTAGTGTCATATATATGCTGCTGGTTTGGTCAATTTATTTTCTTTCATCTGCATTGATAATTTCTGTTCTTGAGTTTTATCCCATCGAGGACAACATTTGGTATTACCTACAATTCTTTATAACATTATGGGCAATTGTGTTTGGGATATACCATGATAAGGTAAAGAGACGTTGTAATTTATGTAATTATTAATAAGCAATTGTTGGAAAACATATATGAAATTATTAATATAAATTAATATTTATACAATAACTTTATTTATATTAATATAATATAAATTATTAATAATAAATAATTCTCTGTCGTACCTATTTACACAATTAATCAGATATATTATATACAAAAATTATAATTTATAATAAACATTAAATTCTATATTTCTTTAATAATAAAAACTGCCACTAAAACACAAAGTTTTGATGTATTATTATAACATAAGGATATCGCAAACACTATTAAAATTTTTTGTTAAATATTTATTACAATGATTTATTCAAATTTTATGAAGATATATGTATTTGACAACAAGATAAAAGACTCTTATATGTACTTGAAATATATTATATGCACAATTAAATTGTATGCACAAGATTATTATAACCGTCAGATTTTCAGATAAATAATAATTTATCTATTTCACATTTTTGTAACAGAAATTCCAAAATTGTTTGACGAAACTTGATATTGTTGAAAATACATTATTTAAGTTAGGAACAACGACAGATTATGAGAAACTTCGCAAAAAAACAGTATGGTTTATCTTAGGATGGTTCGTCATAATCATATTAATGACATATTATTCAGCTTCATTTTTGAAAGACGAATATAATTGTAATATTACAATAGCTGTGCTTTTCATCTTTCTACGAGACTATACTTTTCACGTTAATCTTATTGGTGATTTGATTACTGCAATTATCCTTGAGTTAGTAAATGTTTTTACATATACTTATTGTCACATCAATTACATCGTAGTCATTTATATATCAATCAATAAAACTATATTATAATGCATAAATATACATGATTTCTGGAATTTTTAAATAATGCCAGTAAAATATAACTGCATTTTGCAATTAACAATTTCATTTTCTATCTGTAACTTTCCTTATATTTAGATACATAGGATTGAAGTTTGATCAAATCAATGAACACATTCAAAATTTAATGAAAAATAAAAAACACAAAATAAAACAGGCTTGGGTGAATCCTCCTCAACGCAGATTTTCGAAACCACTAAGCAGTAAATGCATAGTATGGATCGTTATGTAAGAAATTTAACATAAATTGTATTAATTATATTAATGTCACAAAAAAATGAATACTTATGTAAGAAATAATATAAATACATGTCGAATTAAACCCTACATTTATACGTGCATATCCAGACATCTTCATTTAGAATTGCGCAAAATATCCTACGAAATAGATTCAATATTTGGATCACAAATGACTGTTAAAATGGCACTCTATTTTGGCTGTATAGTGCTTGACCTGCGCGTACTTTTAAACGCAATACTTATCAATAATTACGTGAAATCTAAAAAATTGGTCATCACTTTGAATTTAGTCTGGACTATTCATAATGTTTTCAAATTCCTGCTTATTAATTATATGTGTGAAGCAGTCACCACCAAGGTACTCAAATTTAATTTTAGAAAATATAAATTTATAATTTGTTTATAAA